AAAAGTAAAATAACATTCCGATAATATATTAGACCTATAATTTTATTTATGCCGATTTGCCTGTGATAAACATTTAACCTCGTTCGCACGCAATTTTGCACTGCAATTAACTAATTTTTTCCTTTTTGCGTTGTATCTAACTCAATTGACGACGTGAAAGAAGAATTTTTTCGAAAAAATAAAATTTGCTAAAAACCTTCGATTGAGCCGGAAGTGTATCCCGCGCGCGCCAGTGATTGTGTGTGGAGCTTTCATATTCGCGGCAAATTTCACGCGGCAAACTTTCGAGTCGCACCCACCTCACGCGGCCGCGTCGCGCCAATGCTAAAAAGGTGATGATGCTCCCGGCGAGCAGTAAGAAGAGTAAGGGTTCGTTCAGACACAAGAGAGAACATGCTTTAGTACACCGCTAGCCTCCCGGTATTGTGCACGCATCACACCGATCATGCTTTCTCACGGAGAAACATGATGAGCCTTCGTACGTGGCGGCACGCGCCGTGGACATCTGATTGAAGTTCACCGCGAGATGCTGCGGGCTGATACTCGCCCGCGAAATCATCGCACGGACGATTCCCACGATCGGCGATCGACAAACTGATTAATGCATTTGATCAACGTCGCAAGAGCATAAAGAATTCTCTCCACATGAACAAACGTTCATGACAAAATGCTCGCGTTAATGACAGGATAATGTTACGCTATTTGCAGTATAGCGTTGCAAAGTAAAGAGATGAAAGAAACGTGCTTTGTGACGGAAATCTGATCATCGTAAATTCGTCCTCTCTGCTGAACCATGCAACAATGTCATTCGATCATTTTGGTATTAAAATTTGTAAACTAGAATTTTAATTTGCAAGAAAATTGAGCTGAAAAAAAATATAAATTGAAATTTGATCACCATGAATTTTTTATTTCTACAATGTGCAACAATGCAGTTCGAGTGTTACGGTATTACTCTGTAAATTAGAAAGCTGGTTTACAGAGAAAAAATATAATGTAAAAATGCTATTAAATTAAATTATTAATGTTTTAATACTTTCGACATGGAAAAGACGAATCAAACTTTTCGTAATTGCATATTGTCTCTTTTTCGAGTTTTTATCGTACATGTAAAGTTCTACTACATATTTTCTTACAAATTCTCTTGCACAATATAAAAGCAAACAGTATGATAATAAGTTATGAAATCGTCGATTCTTTTACTTGACAAGAAAAGTACTGTGTGAATTACCGCGAGTAAAACGAACGTAGTCATCAATATGTCTATTGTTTGTAGTTGCATTATGCTGTATAGTATTTTTTGTAAAATAAAGCAAGCATAATTAAATGTTGGACAGAAAAAGAGAAAAAGATATGTGAAAAGTGCAAAAATTTCAGCTACAAAAAACAAACATGATATTAATATATTTTATCGATATCTCACTAAATTCGAAACATTGGCTCGATAATCTCTTTTTCAGAAATTCTTATCGATCATATCGCTTGTATCACATTTTACATGAAATGTTAGACATTGCTTTCATTGCATTCATATCGCCTCGAAGAAAACATTATCATTTTCGCAGATATGGTCATTTCCGCATTTCGGCGAATTCATGATGCAATATGGATCGAAGTATTCGTAAGACATAGGACCTAAGGTGGGTACAATGGCATAGAAACGGTGAACATTCGCTGATGAAATCGAGGAAAAAATGACTTTTGCTGTATGTAATATTTAGGTGTCAAAATTTGATTTTATGAAAAAATTATTGCAATGAAAACTACAAGTTTTCAAACTACAAGAAATACATACACATATATATATATATATATATATATATATATTGTCTGTTATTTTTTTGTACAAGTAATAAATTGCTGAGCATATTTCTTAAAGCGACAACAAAAGCTGTGGTGTCAGCGTAATGAGAAAGCAAAATAGCAAAAAATGCTGAAATGCGATTTCAATGCGGTTAACTTTGGTATTCGATCATTTAGCATTTTAGAAGACAAAAAGAAGTGTACAAAATATCGACAGAGAAGATTTAAAAAGTGGATTTTTTTTATTTTTATCGCATTTTTCGATGCACTCTCAAATATAACCAGAGTCGTGAAGGAAAAAAATGATTTGATCATTGATTTTCGGAGTCTTATCAGCAGACTTCGACAAAATTTCGGCAGCGTGAGCATTTCCGCGCCAATGGACGCGCGTGTTCGCGCGCATCACCGCTAGCGTCGCGTCAGTTCGATCGCCGAGCGGCGAATCGCGTCGTTATAAGGAGGATACGTACAAGGCAGTGGTGAGAGTACCGGCGAGCGTTTGGTGAAGCAGCGCGCGGCAGTTCGGCAATTACAATCCGGCTCGTCGGTCGCGCACGTGTGTCCGTCGTGTAAGACGCTCCTCGCCACGTGGTGATACGCGAGCGCGCGCGCGCGCGCGTCCCGATTCTCTTTCTCTCTCTCTCTCTCTCTCTTTCTCTCATCCTTCCTCTTTTTATCCATTCTACTTCCGGCATCGCTTATCTACCTCAGTTTCTATTTCGCTCCACGTGTCTTACCGCGTTGCACGCGCCTCCGCGGGAATGCCCACGCGGCACGTCGCGGCATTCGACGCTCGAGTACTCCGAGTAGTCGTGTGGAAACGCGCGTGACATTCGCACGCGTGCGCGCGCGTTCCGATTTCACGGAGGATTTTAAATCCGCGAGGATGCCGGATAAGGTAGCGCCGGTGGAAAAGTCGATCCTGCGGTCCCAGGCCGCGGGATCCGACAACAGCGACGAAGTCAAGTTGAAGAAGGAGCTGGGTCTATGGAACGGCGTGGCGATCATCGTCGGCATCATCGTCGGCGCCGGTATCTTCGTGTCGCCCAAAGGCGTGCTTAGGAACAGCGGCAGCGTCGGCCAAGCTCTCATTGTCTGGATCTTTTCCGGTATTCTGTCGCTGATCGGAGCCCTATGTTATGCCGAGCTGGGTGAGTGACGAAATTTTTCAGAACGATTGCTCCCCCGGTGAGAAACTTCTCTATTCGAATTGGCGCGCTCGGCAGGTGGAGGGTCAGGACCGGTTCGGTCAATATTCCAGCAACTGATGTAAGACTGGAGTTTGAAGAAAAGAGATAGCTTTCTTTTAATAAATCTATAAATATATAAATATGCAAGATTTTGATAGACAAATAAATATATATAGATCAGTACGTTTAACAAATAATAAATAATTCTGGCATTACATGGTCGAGACAAAATTTTTAGCGCTTATTAAAAAAATGTTTTTTTTAATTTTTGAATTAAAAAAATAGTACACTAAAAAAGAAAAAATATATTCTTAATTACATTTCATGTAATTATAAAGCGAGAACATATAAGATCTATATAGAAATAATCTATTCTCTGATAGTAAAAGAGAAATTTCAATAATATATTATATTTGAGAAAAAATATTACATATTAAATGGAATAACATTTATCCATCAAGAAGTTTTTATTTCTTTTATTGATCAATCAAATATTACTTTACCAGAAGATAAGATTTTTGAAAACGTCTAATAGACGATGTATGATAATGATATCAGTTTCTATTAATCATCGATGTTAATGTTTATTTCTTAAAAATTATTTTTCGTTTTGTAACACTTAATACATATTATATTAATACATTTTATATTTAATAGAAATTAAATTGCAATATTGAATATTGTTATTTAATACTCTATAGTTAATCTATAATTATGGATATTTTAAAATTCTGTTCGAATCATCCAGAGATCCTATTTACAAATTTATATGACTTAGTTATTTTTCATGATCATTACTACTACATTATTATTACTAATGAAAATATTATAAATAAAAGACATTTACATTTTTAAATTATATAGTTAATTATATAATTAAAAATATATTTTCATAAAATTGTTATATTTTTAATAAATTCTCAAAGTTTTGAAAAAAATATTCTCGGAAAATATTTTTAAAAAATAAATTACCGAACATTTCTTATCTAATAGTAGCAATTTGCAACATACATACATTTTGTTATTATGATATAGAAAAAAAGCGAAATTTTTAAAATAATGCCAAAATTATCATTTTGTATTCCATTAAATTAATATTTATCAAATAATAATTGTATAAGTTAAATTACTGTTAAATGATCTTAAAAATATTTGTCATTTTTTATATGTTATCACATATAGTTTCACACATATTTTTGTATATCTTCTTCATATTGATGACAAAAAATGAAATGGTTTTAAATATGAGGTGAAGTAATCCCCATTTTTTAATTTTTAAATGAAAAACCTAGTATATAATATGAATAAATTGTTATTATCTAAAAAAATAATAATTTTTCACACAAAAATTATTTAAAGTTGCTCGTTTTACCAAAAAATTCACCACTTTTATGGATCGTAATATATTTTTCTACTTCGTTTTTAAAATTCAGGATATTTTTATTCTCAAGAGGCAAATATCCATTATCATTATTAATATTGATATCCATTATTATTATTAATATTGATTTTATTTACCTTTATATTCTGTTTGTTTGGTGTCTCTTAATCAACGATACTGTTACAGTGTGATTATATGTGCGCACGTGGCATTATCGTTAGCACAATCATATGCTGATGTCTACATTCTCGTATAATATGATATCTCGATGACTAAGAAGCGCCGGCATCAATGACCTACGAAAAGAGAGAATAATATAAATCAAATATGATATATTTCATATGATAGCAGAAAGAAAAGCAGTTTTCTAATATACTAGTTATTCTTCAATTATAAAAATTTCATTTTGCAAAATTGTAGCTTGAAATTTTATGATAAGTATGAAAAGAAAAAAAATCCGAAGCGTTATATCTCATATTTTTTATAAAATGTGAATTTTCTATATTCTATAGTAATCAATCGTTAAGTTATATTTAAAAAATCAATATAAGTGAATAATTTGTGTACTTTCATCAATTCTCGCAACAACGAATGAAGAAGATTTAAATGAGAATTAATGTGAGAAATATCTTTTTTTATTTATTCATATTATTGATAATTCTTAGTCTAAACACCATAGATTTACGGCAAGTTTGATTCCTGTTCGATAGGCCAAAGTTTATCGAGATTCACTGTTTGAATTTATGTTGAATTCACCGCTAGTTACGCAATTTCTTCTTATCTGTTTTTCTTATCTGCTGATAAAGAACATTGTGATTGTATATTTATTGAGTATAGAAAAAAATTGTCAAGTTTAATTACAGTTTAGTTACGAAGTACTTACTATTTCGCTTCCTGTAGTGATACGCTATATTTACATTCTCAAAAATATGTATGTAAATGATATGTAAATTCATCTCTCTCGACTAACAGATCATTTGTTTATCACCATTTTTCTTGAACTTCAATCCATGATCTTACAGATTTAACGACACAATAATGTAACAATGGTTTTGATATTGAAGGACAATTAGAGCGATCTGTCGCATTACAGAAAATCGAAGTTCATTAAATGAAGATATATCGACAGCATATCTTGTAAGAATGTTTATATTATATTATCATTATTTCATTTTTGACACTACTATTTATAGTATTGATATTTTTCTGTGATATAGCTTATTACTCGTTCGATTAACTAGAAAAACGAAAAAACAATTTGAACATTATAGTTTATTAATCAGGGCAATTATAAGTTATATTTTTCATAAAAACTAAAATTAAAAATTATCTTGTTTTGATTCTTGATTAAGTTACAATTAATAATAAATTATAATTAAATTACGATTGATAAAAACAGAAATAGAGGAATATAGAAAATGTGGGAAATATATGAACGGAATGAGCAAAGTGGCCGCAAAATTTAGATCGTGGATTCGTCAATGAAGGAGATGATATCATCGTGATATCACAAAATCACGAAATGGATGGGCGTATAACAAGGTCACATATTATTGCCAGTTGATGATTTTATGAGGGAACAAGCCCCAAAATCGATTCGCATGTTAGGAATCAACAAATAATAATGTGACAGGACAGACGCACACAATCTGATCCTTGACCTGGTGATAATTAAATAATGTCACGCATATTATCACATGACCAACTATCGATGATGAATAATAGTGATAATATTTCCCGTTCGAGTGATCCTTGACATATCGAAATCTTTCGCAACTTTTGAAACAAAAATCGGTCTAACTTGGTATCTTTTCGCGCTTATTAACAAAACTGTATAAGTGCATAGTGTTGATTATATATGTGTGATTTTTATAGTTATACTTTTTTATCAATTTACATTTTTGTTTATCAATTTATAATTGTACTTTGTATTTTCTATTATATTTTTTATTGTATTTTCTCATGTACATTTTTATTATCATATAAAACATAACATAAAGTATATCGCATTATTTTTGCCTTTTTAGTTAATTATAATTTTTTATGTCGATTTATAGTTTTATTTTGTTTTCTCTTATATTTTTCTTTTAAATATCTATTTATTTAATTCCATTTAGTTTTAATGTATTTTTAATACTTTTTTTAAACGAACTTTTTTAAACGAAATATAATTATCACCTAGAAATATGTGTATATTAACTTTTGTTACCAACCAAATTTTTGTATTTTCATCAATTTTCTTTTATTTTTAAAAATAATTTAGATTGATATTTATGTAATGAAAAAAATATATAATGTTTTTTTGTGTCCGTGCAGGTACGATGATCCCAAAATCCGGCGGTGATTATGCATACATCAGTGATGCCTTCGGACCTTTGCCGGCGTTTCTGTATCTCTGGGTGGCTTTGTTCGTCCTGGTACCAACGGGAAATGCAATCACAGCACTCACGTTCGCACAGTACATCCTACAGCCGATGTGGCCCGGATGCGAACCACCATATGAGGCAGTGCGATTACTCGCTGCCGTAATTACATGTAAGATGAATGAATATATTTTGTAGACTATTTTTTATAATTTATAAGATACAGAAATGAATGAAATAATCTACATATATATATATTTTGAAATATATATATATTTAAAAAAATAGATTATTATGGAACTAAAATCCTGTCGAATATTACTCATTACTGTTACTTTTATTTTAGTCAAGTATATTTTTCGTATAATAGATTATGTAAATTTTGAATATAAATTCTGAATTTTTCATCATATTAGTAGAATTGATGATCGATATCTTTCTTGAGAATTGCATTCTACAATAGAGCAATTACTATAGATATTGTGTGAAACATGCGTAAATGTTTGCGTTGAACCGGCCAAGAGTATCTTGAGACGCACGTGCGCAATAAGATGAAACGATTGTACAAAAGACTTACGCGAAAAACACGACGCAGATACGTATGCACGCGATTTTTAAATATAGCCCGGAGAAACTCCGTGGAGTTATTCGCGCTCTCTCTCATCCGATTGTCTTCGCACGTGTGGCTGTTACGCGTGAATGTAGTGAGCGCAGTAATAACACGCAATTTCTGTCACGTTTACAGGTCTGTTAACCGTTATTAACTGCTACAATGTCAAATGGGCGACCAGAGTGCAGGATATCTTCACCGGCACGAAGATCTTCGCGCTAGTAATCATCGTAGTGACTGGTTTCTGGTGGCTCTGCATGGGCCATACGGAGAACTTCCAACATCCGATGGCTGGAACTAACACCCAGTCCGGTTACATCGCTTTGGCAATCTATTCCGGATTATTCTCTTACTCGGGCTGGAATTACCTCAACTTCGTGACGGAGGAACTCAAAGATCCTTACAAGTAATTCTTGTTTTAAATTATTGAGTTTGAATTGTATTTCTATAACAAGAGCGAAAAAATTAAATCAAATGGATATTTGTTTATTTTATGAGAAATTAGTATGTTGTAATATTAATTTATATAAAATTAATATTTTATGCTCTGTTAAATCTTTATCTTATACTTTATTAGAAATTAATACGGAATGGAATTGATATTTATAATTTCTCAAAAAGCGTTTATATTTAGACAATAGCGTCTCTCGTACTTATAGTTTCTCAAAAAGCGTTATATTTAGACAAAGATAATAGCGTGCCTATTATAAAATTTTTTTGTATTTTCATCAATTAGACTTAGACTTGTAATGTGCAAACTTTTATATTGATTATTATTTTTTTGCTTTTTACAGAAATCTTCCAAAGGCGATTTGTATATCATTACCGCTTGTGACAGTGATCTATGTTTTCGCGAATATCGCCTACTTCGTCGTACTCACGCAGGATGAAATACTCGCGTCGAATGCCGTCGCTGTTGTAAGTACGCTTTCACACGTTAATAATGATTGTGAAGAGACATGTGGAGTATTGATCTACGCGATTGATTTGCCGCTAAGTGCAATGATTCGCATGAACATTTTGTCGTCAAAAAAAGTAAAACTTCATTGTGTATGAAAATAATATAAAGCTTGAAGAATTAATTATATAGAGAAGAGAAAAGAGCTTAGAAATTTCAATTCGCGCAACTAGCTTGTGTTAAATTGATCGTAGCAACATTACATGCTAAGCAGTGTGTTAAATGTCGAGTGTAGTATCAAGTATGCACGTGCTATTGCTTTCATTAAAACCAGATACAATCTCGATAAAAATCAGTAGATTATACATTATCGCGAAAAATCAAATCGATCTGATACAATCTATTTAATGCAAAGAAGTTATACAATCTCGGAATTGCTTTCTGCTACGATTAAGATGCTGTTCCACTTTTATTAGCCTAGCATTACGTCGCGTTGAAATTTCCTTTCTAGACCTTTGGTGATAAACTATTGGGCGTTATGTCGTGGATTATGCCGTTCTTCGTGGCATGTTCGACTTTCGGAGCATTGAATGGCGCGATCTTCGCGTCATCTAGGTTGTTCTTTGTCGGCGCCCGAAACGGACACCTCCCCACTGCCATTGCCCTCATTAACGTCCGCAATTTGACGCCGATGCCATCCCTCATCTTCCTTGTAAGTATCACACTGTCATTTTTCACAGGATTAATCGTTTTTTCTAAAAAGAAAAATAGGTAAAAATAGATAAAAAAATTTATTATGTAACTTAAGCGCCATTTAACTTTAAAATTTTTAAAGCTTCTGATCAGAATATAAGATGGTTGAAAATAAAGCATCTCCTTTTTTTCATTTTTAAGGCATTTTGCATATCTTTTGATCGACAATTTTCATGCAAATAAAAGTCGAGTAAAATACATAAATGTCAGGAACATCTGTTTAATGTTGTGGCGATTAATTACGCGCTTACTTTGAAAGCCATATGACATTTCAATAGTGAACATATCTTTTTTGATCACTTTGATAACCGAATATTTTTTTCAAGAACTATTTCATTAACAGAGCATATAGAACATATTTATAGCGCACTCGTCTAGCGATAATAAAAATAGGATGTGTCAATGATCCACATAGGTATACAATACATCTCACGAACTGAATTACAACAATAATACATTTATCATTGTTTGTTCGAATTCAATATGTATTTAAATGATAACAAAATATTTCAATCGTACTAGAAACGTAAGAGAAACTATGCTTATATAATTATTAATTGTGAAGAAGGGAAAGGGCTGTATAATATAATCTATCTCTTTGGAAATATTTAACATTTTTTTGCCTTATTACATTTGACGTCAAAATAATCCACGCTTTGCGTGTGATAATTTCACCCGATTACCGGGAATAGAATTAATTGACGTATATAAATCGGGGGGGGGTATATAATAACCCGCGAAATTACATTAAAGCTGGCGTCTTAATGAAATAAACGAAGCCAGAGAGATCAGAGTAGCGACATGCTGCTGCACAACTTGACATCTTGATTTGCGGCTTTTTAATTGAGAGCGATAAATTGATCCTTTCATGTCGCTCTCTGACCCACTGTCTCTTTGACGATCGGTAACGGAAGTCTGCTGACAATCTCCATTCTTTTCTACGAATAAATCGAAACAATTGACTGCGTTAACGATGTTCGATGTCACGTCATACCATCATGGGTTAAAATATTCAGAGATTTAAGAAATCTAATAAATTTATCCATAATTTTACGACTCAAAACTTACCTCACTTCATTTAAAAAAAAAAAAGATCGATTTATTTATTTTAAACGGAATATTAATTTTAAATTTGAATATAAAATTTATTTAGAACCAAATATATTAAAAAATTTTAATTATCGTCATTCGCGGTCAGTTCTAAAAGCGCCGATATGCATGCGAAGCAATTTTTCTATTCTTATAGTCGGAGTCCAATTCCGAGCGTTAAACTATAATTTCCGTTTCTAGTGCATTATCACCCTGATACTCCTCATCATAGAGGACGTCTACGTACTGATAAATTATGTCAGCTTCGTTGAGGCTCTATTTACTACACTCTCCGTATCTGGTCTGTTGTGGCTACGTTACAAAAAGCCCGATCTCCAACGTCCGATAAAGGTAATATGTGATTTTATCACATTTGATTTTCTATCTTTCCTTTTTTTTACATCTATGCGTCTTCTGCTCTTCTATTTGATCACAAATGAAGTCTAATTTCGCATATTTCATCTCTCCAGGTTTCCATAATTTTGCCAATCATTTTCTTCATAATCTGTGCATTCTTGGTCACCTTTCCGTGCTATGTCTCGCCATGGGAAGTAGGCATAGGCATAATCATAATCTTGTCTGGTATTCCTGTGTACTGTATCTTCATCGATTGGAAAACGAAGCCCGACTGGCTTGTCAATGCATCCCGTAAGTTATTCACGAACTTTGGAATTACATAATATTAACTATTATTATATCTTTACATATTACCGTTAAATATTGTATATATTATTTACATTTACACTTTTTGTTCAGATAAATTTAATGTGATATGTGCAAAGCTATTCATGTGCGTTCCTGTGCAAGAAGAAAAGACCGAATGAATGTACGACTCATTGTGATCGGAAAATTTCAAATTGTGACACCCGAATTTAAAAGTGCATTTTGCACACGTGGTACTTTTTCCTAGGTAGGTAGATTATAATTATGAAAAAAATACAATGTCAGACATTGTTTTGAACGGTATAAGTATTAATGATAATGCGCGAGCTTGTGACATAGCACTGTTGCCGATAGATTCATAATTTTTATATTCTAAATATATATGTATTCGAAAGTAATTTTTATACATATATATATTCGTAATTATTTATTGTTTAATAAGTGCCTGTATGCCATCATTATGCTATAATTTAACGCGTAAATTATATTCGCCAAGTGCCAATTCTTGACACTGCCCGATGTATTCGAAATATTTCGAACACATATTTAGGATGAATATTTTTTGAATACGTACACGCGTTTACTACATTTTTATTGGCTACATTAAACTATGCAAGCATAATATTATAAAGATATATTTATGAAGGCATAATATATAAAAAAATCTATCTCTCTAGAAAATAATTAAATTAAATCAAGGAAATCAATTTTGATGATCCAATTGTTTAAAGACTTAATTATAGTAATTAATTTATTTGCATTTGTCTGAATTTAGCGAAATTATACTGAATTTAATTTCTGAATTGTACATATAGCAGAATAGTTAAATATCTCTATATATAATTAAAAATTTATAGATTCTGATTTGATTATAGGAGTAACGTTACGTAATTTCAATAATTGAATTATTCAGCAATTAGTTCAAATATTTTTTTTCAAAGGAAAAAATTCAAAGGATTATCTTATTTTTAATTAATTAAGAGAAAGAAAAGAGAAGAATATATTTCTACATAAATGTTGATCTTTTATATCAAATCTTTTATATCAATAAATTAATCGAGTATACGATATTGATTGATCATTATCACATAGTTCATACTTCATTGATCTTGTTAATTACAACAATAACAATTAATAATATCACAGACGAAAAGACGCAACGTTTAAAAAAAAGCGAAATATTTATGTGATCAAGATAATCTTTTCTTTCAAAATATACGTGTGGTATTCACATTTTCAAATGATTATGAATGTGTCATTTAGGTTTATATTCTGTAATTAGATAACTGCTCAAGTATCAATAGACAATCATCTTGGAGCAAATTCGAGAATGACTGATCCATGTGCCTTATAGGCAAGTGAGCAGATTACACATTCTGCAAAATAGAATAGGGTATTTTGTACAAAATACGTAATTGATTAAGTCGTACCAAATGGCAAATCTCATGAAATAAGAATATGTATATCTTAAGGGAGTTTGTAAAGATAAATAGCGTATCTTTGAGTAGCAACTTTATTCCAACAAATTTGATAAAACAGCGTTGTAAATCGCTTTTAAGTATAACTTGCAATAAGTAAGCTATTAACAGATAGGAAAGATTAGCACTATTTTGTGCTGTACATTTGTATTTCTGTCATTCCTAAATTTGTAAAGATAAAATGTGATGAGTGATGGACAAAAGACACAGTATATATACGCCTGCCGTCAAACTATTGTACGGTACATAGGCCAAAAGTACTGTTAACACGAACCGAAACAAGACTAATAACAATTTCTCACATATTTGTAAATATTTTACTTGTATTTAATTTCTATCTCATCATCATTTTCAAAAATCTTGTATAGATATTACTTCCTGATACCACATTAAAGTCAATCTTTTTGAAGAATTAATTGGGTTTTTATTAATCTACATATGTTTCGTGATACATTCATTCATGATGAATTGTAGCGCCTATAATTGCATGAATCTTCGCGGTTAAATATTAAATTGAAGTTTTGCGAAGTTTTACGAAGAGACACTGATACTTCGAATTTGTTATATTTATTTGGCACATACAAGTATATGTCCAATACATGACTGTATATACAAATTTTCCTGTCACAGTCGATCCAGAAATATACAGAAAATTGTTCGTTTGTAATAAATATTATACCATCGAGTTTTAGAAAAGAGATGAAGTATTGTAGAAGCTCATAATCAAGAGCCGTTTCCATAGAAGAATTTCGATGTAAATATTTTTTCTCTTAAAATACTAATTAAAACTAAACTTTACAAAACAAAAAACAAGCCATATTATTTAGTTGTTATTTTAGTTATTCATATTTACATATTCCATTACTTTTATGATTAATTAGCGGTAATTGTTCAGTACACATTATTCAGCAATTTTTCTTCCTCATTTATTTACCGAAGTTAAATTAAACGGAATATTCCGTTATGAGTTCCCGATATTCAACGAGTAAATTTTGCCAATTCAAAAAACGTCAATAAGAATAATATTGCAATGTTTCCATATATATCTTAATAACTAATTTGGCATAATAATATAGGGACTTATAAAAGAACTTCAAGATCTTTAAAATATGTTTTTGACGAGTAATGACTTCTTCAAAAGTCACATATTTGGCAAAAATAATTAAAGATTCTTGCACCTGGTACTTGTGTTTTCTCGTATTGTAAAAGAGTAATTAAAGTTAAGTTAAAGAAATGTTTTTAAAGATCTCAAAATTCTTTCTTTAAGTTCCTATATATTTATTATAAAAATTGAAAAATGACTAAAAATACCTCCACATGCGCTTCGTTCACTTGATAAAATCAGTGCTTTCCCCGACTGTATCTGCTCGTGCATTTTTTTTGCTGCAATTAGGCAAGAACAAAATTACACTTTTCCTAACGCAACAAAGGAATCATTGTCGGCTTGCGGGAAAATCGAAAAAATCGCATCAGTTCGTGCGCTTCTTCTCAAGCAAAAAACATGGATTTTTCCGACTTTCTAATGTAGCATTCTGCAGTCAACCTTCGGCGAGCGGCGGTGTCACCCAGCCATACTTTTCGTGCGTCTTCACCAAATGTTTAAATGTTTCCTCGGCCAATTTTCGATTGTACTCTTTATTCGACTTTGACTTTCTTGCTATTTGTGCCTATTGAGATGAAAGTTTATAAACATAAATTGGAGAAATCGGTAAGTATAAACATATCATTAATAATTAGTTTTTCATCTTGCCTTTATTTTCTTTAATTAAAAATAAGATAAAACTAATAACTTTAAAGAGATTAATTGGAGAGAAAATTATATTAAAAGATAAAGTTAATGATTCCTATATTGTTATTAATTTGTATAATGTGATCATGATATATGATGACATGATTAATTGTTTGATGCAGATCAAAACAATGCTCACCTGTCCCTTTACAACACTGGCCGCAAATTGCATGATCATTGATTCGACACTGTACGCGCAGCACCATCCTCTTGGCGTAAGGAGTTCCATGCAAATAGCACCACCATGCATCACGAAGCCCTGCTCGATCCTCGGCGAGATCACTCTCATAAAAGGTGGCGCAAATGGAAACTCCTTCGGAAAAATCACATGCAGTAATATGTGAGGAATTTTCAGCTCGCGCATATCGGCCGCCAATTTGCTGTCCGGATCAATCTTGTGCAATCGAACAAACCATTCGAAAACATTGTCATTGACCAGCTCCACGGTGAAGGCAGAATCGTCGCGTTGCGCTCTTTGAATCCTGTTGAACTCCTTCATTAGTCGACGTAGACCAATATCCTTGTCACAGGGAGCTTTACATTCGTTGTTATCCTGTGCAAGTAAAGCCTGATTTGAAATTCTCAGGCTGTCTCAAAATATTTTAATATGACTATAAAAGTATAGATAAGGAAACTATTATTATAAGCTTATTCTTTAGAGATAAACAGCGATTAGAATTTTCTAGATCTTTTTTAATCGAACTAATTAAGAATTCTATGCACCTTTGTGGACTTTTTTGAAGCCTTAAAGAAACAACTGCGATCGGGATGAGTAGAATCTGGATTTTCCGGTATTGGACCATCCATTGGAGTGATGGCATCTGGACGGTGGTGGCGATTAAGAAGTCTCCTTGATGGTGAATTAGTCGAACCACTGGCTCCCTCCGATTCTGCTATTTTATCGGAAGATCGCAAGAGTTTTCGGATAGCGGCCATCATTTTCTCCTTGGATCTCGTGGACATGGTGAAAGTAGCGTGTCGCTGTTTTATCGGATCTCGTTCCTCTGCGCAAAATATTTTTATTTGTAAGAAGCATTTTTAAGATTTATGTATAAAATCATAATAATTGAATCATTAATTACTTTTGGAACTGCAAAGAAAACAAATTAAAGGAATTTATGTACTGTAATAAAGGAAAATTAAAAATATTTATTAAAATAATTATTAAAATAATATAAATTGTTTCATAATGATAGATCAATATAAATGAAAATAATATAAATTTAATTTCTTAGAAGTTTAAATTAAGTTTATTAATAAGGCACAGAATAAGTCATATATCAAAAATTCCTTTAATATTGTATTGATTGTATTAATTATAAGATTCATCTCTCAATTAACTTCCATACACAAATCAGAAGCACAGAAAATTATTGTAAACATTGTCATTAGGATCATATATATATATATATAT